CTGGGAAAAGGTGGGAATCCCTGCACTTCACCACACCACACGTGACCTGACCATCGGCGAACTTTGGAGAAACCTTATTTTTCCGCGGCTAGGTGGACAGTGGCGGGGTGAATTCAAGAAACTTGCCCCGTTGTTTCAATCACCGCAACGGGATATCAAACGCGCACCTCCGATGAGCAAGGTTTGCTATGTACGGTGCGAAAGAAGTCCAACATACAGACATACAACCCGGTGACCTCTGGATCTCAAGTTCATATATATTTTTAAATGGACAACAAAACTGTGTCAGCAATGATGATCTTCGATTTAAAATCTAAGCCGGACGAACCAGATTATTCAGGGAGTCTACGCAGGTAATAATACGATTATTGGATTTCAGAAGCAAAGCAGGCTTGAGCCTGGATAGTGCTTGGATCGGTGACCATGATGCTATAGGCCGCGGTGCTACGGGGTGTAAAACAAAATAGGGCATTGCAGTAAAATCCAGTGTCGTATTGTATGCCGATGTTGCCTCATCTCTGCTCCCCGTCTTTACCGACCTGCACTGACCGGTGAAGTAAAAAGTGGTGATCAAATCACCCTCGTGGCCCACATGGTGAGGGGAGACATTCGTCCAGGAGTAGACTGACAACGGCATGTCCATGTGTGTCTTGTGACCCCTATTTAAATCATTAAAAAATGTATTTTTATTTTAAGTAAGGTTCATTTAAAACGGAAATAAATATGCGAAGGAAAACATGATAGGGGTCAATTAATTGCGGGTCGCAAGACATCTGGACCACTCTGTACATTTGCCATATTACATTACAGTACAGCAGGACACATATGTAAGAGTATATGACATGGCTATTTCTATCTTTTTTAAGTGCAATATACAGTGAACCAGGTCAAAGTGTATCGCTGCTTAAATGAGTGGCGTGTGGTCCTCATCTGAATTAAGGACCCAAAGAAAGTGGTGTAAATTCCACATTCCTATGGTTGGCAGTCTATCCACAAGATAACCATGTTGAACTTCTTTCGCACCGTACGTAGCCAACCGCGATATATACACACACACTGTTCTATAGACTGTATTTAGAACACCTGATTGTAAACATTGTGTAATACGTATTATATATCTTTCAGTCCCTTTGTTAATCCAGTACGTCCTGAATAAAGGCCTCTCCGTGGCTTGGTGATGGGGGGCTGTTTGACCATACTTCACCAAGCTGGTCCATGTGAGTTGAAGGGGAGTCAATGGCCACTGATGTTAGCCGTGGCTTTGAATTACCCAGAGGTCTCTGGAGTCGTGAACCACCCCACCCTGTTATTGAACCACACTGAAGGAGGTGTAATGGCAATACAACGCCGGGCAGATTGGAACTTTACAAAAGGATTGTAAAGCTGCTCTTTGGTTCTTTCGGTGAAGTCACGAAGAAAGAAAATAATTAAATAATAGAAAATGACGTTTCGATTGCAACACAAGCAGTCGTCATCAGGTAGAACTAAATTCGAGAGAGAGAGAAAACACAGACACAGAGACACACAGACAGACACACAAGCAGAGAGACACACAAGCAGATAGAGACAACACAGACACGCATAGAGAGACACACAACATAGACACACAGAGAGAGACACACAACCGAGACACACAGAGAGACACAATATAGACACAGAGAGAAACACACAACAGAGACACACAGAGATAAACACAACATAGACACACAGAGAGAGACAACACAGAGACACACAGAGAGACACACAACATAGACACACACCATAGACACACAGACAGACACACAAGCAGGGAGAGACACACAACATAGACACACAGAGACCCAATGCCTCTGTGTCGTGGCCTTAAATAGAGAGAGAGGGGGGGGCAGAGAGAGAGAGTTGGGTCTGCTGGAGCAGAGAAATTAGCATGTCAATGAGAGAGCTGTGTGGAAATCCACCCCAAAGCTGCCGGGCTAATTTTGTGTTTTGTGATGATACCCGCAGCTCCTATTTATCACCTCTGGGATACTGTTGTGATGTAATGGTTTGCACGCTGGACTTGCAACCCAGCAGGTCGCCGGGTTCAATCTACCGGCACGGACATTGAAATGGGAAAGTTACAGAATCAGAATATTTATTCTGGTGGAATCCGATGAGCTATGAAGCTCTTTTGTCCAGTAAGGGCGGGTCGGAAAGTTATAAATCCACTCCTACCCCACCTCTGACCCCCCACCCCAACAACAATAAATAAATAACTGGTCACCCCACATTTGATCGGCAGGCCACGTGTGGTGCGATAAGACGTGAAGGCTACCACCACCACCTCTTCCGAGATGTCTGGTCAGAATGAAAGAGCAGGCCAAGTTCTCGATCCGGTGGCTCTCTCTCTCTCTCTGGCGCTCCCCCTAGGGGAGGCCCTTCCTGCCAGCAGCAGTGTGAGCGAGCATTCGCCAGGGCTGCCGCCTTCACCATTTACGTTCGAGCCTCCACCTTAATGCACCTTGCACATCCTTGGCTCTGAGCTCTGGCTAGAATTTGAAAAGTGCAACAACACTGTTCGGGCAATCTGTCGATGCCCTTGAATTATAACGGCGTGACTTATTTATTTTCCCGCACGGTTAATGAGTAACCACTAACTTGGCGAACGAAAAAAAAACTCCGTGCATCAAATTGAAATATCCTTTGTTGTTATTCAACAATTGCCCCCCCCCCCCCCCCCATTTTTTAAAAATAACTCAAGTGGCCACTTAAGGACCATCTCTCTTTTCTGTTTCAACATTATGATGGCGACATCAACAAACAGGCACGTAAATGTATAGACTCATAATACCGTACACACATTCGTCAACAACACTGCGGCCTTAAAAGGAAAGTATATGACGTGGACAAAGGCCATTTACCATTTTAAGGCCACGGTGTTATTGACGGATGCGTTGGGTTTTTGATTATGTGTGCTTGTACAACCAACGGCAACAAAGTATCACTATGTAATTTGTTTAGTATGGATACGTAAAAATGCCAGCTCTTGGCTTTTTTGTAGCATTTCAGCTGCCCTTGGAAATGTTGCTTTTGTTATCAACACATTACAGAGATGCACATTAACACACACACTAAACTATTACATTTGTAGCCTACAGAGGCCGGCAAGAACACGCTTGGGCGCCTTTGTCTCCCTAGTGGCAATGTTTACACATCCCACCAGGTACTCATTTGAGGCTGAGTCGACCTAGGGAAGACCCAGGACCGATTCAGATTATCGTTACTGGTGTTGGCCGCGAGCGGGAATCAAACTCGGGTCGCCGTGTTCGTAGCGCAGGGTGCTCACTGTTGCACTACCACACGAGTACACACACACACAGATCTGAACCCCAATACTGGACACACGAGACATTCCGCTCTGGATTAGGGCTGAACGATGAATCGATTTAAAATCGAAATCGCAATTTGAAACAATGCGATTAGCAAATCGCAAAGGCTGCGATTTTTTGCGATTTTAAAAGTCCCATTACTTTTAAATTGGAATTGTTTCATTATTTATTATAATAACTTTATTTATTTAACTTAACAATTGTTCTATGTTTGATTGTTCTATTTCAATTAAAACATTTTAATAAATACATGTTGGAAGCAATTAATATCTTTTAAGTTCTCATCCTTGCATTAGAATATATAGAGCAGTTCATATTTTGACGGTATCATGTGGTAATGCTCCATCACATGTTTTAAATCTATTACACAGTGAATGTTGAACTAAAGCTTGACTTTTAAAAAATGTAATCGCAAATCAAATCGCAATGTCAGAAAACTCGCAATTAGATGATTTTCCTCAAATCGTTCAGCCCTACTCTGGATGCTGGTTAAATGAGGCCACGAGTGGCGTTAATAGGGGACGATCGCTTGGGAACCCTTTAAGCCGTTGCCGTGGATCTCCTGTGCAGTTGAATCGTCCACTCGGGGCAGTCGCCATCCTCCACCATCCTCACCACCATTGGCTCTGGGCAATCCGCTGACGGATGAAAGCCTCTCCAAGACATCACCATCTCCCACAGCGAGGCGATGTCACGGCTTGGTGTCATCATAGATGGCTTCATTTTCATATTCTTAGGTTTTTTCGGTACAGTCACGTAGGTAAAACATTACAATTAATAAAAGTAAAATATTTACTAATTTACTTGATACAGCTGTCGTGGCTGTGACGGTTCCACCTGAAGACGGAAGCTTGTGTTGCCTCCGAAACGTCGTGATTTTTATTTTATTTTACTTTTATTAATTTTATGAATGTTTTACCTACGTGACTTTACCGAAAAAACCTAAGAATATGAATCATTGCAGTAACGAAAGCTTCAAATCTAGGCTTCATTTTATTTTTGCTCGCTCACAGAAGCTATTTCAGTGGCAGGGACAATCTCTGTCCTTGAGGCTAATTATCCTCAGCTTAGCCGTTCACCCGCCCAGCACAGATGACCAATTGCTCTCTGCTTCAACGCAAGCCAGCTGATTAATAATTGCGCGTGTTTAATCTGCGATACGCTCATTCGAGGTAAAGCTGCTGAATGTGCAAGCCCGCTATCGCTTGCCCACGTCGCTGTTAGTGGAAGGGCCTTCCGCTATCTTGAGGGAGCTCAAGATAGCCCCTATCGGTGATATTTTAGCTTTGGGGCCGTCCATAAATGACGTCACGCTATTTTGGACGATGTTTTACCCCCTCCCCGCCTCGTCACACGACGTCACAAAAAGTCAGGCCCCCCCTCAAATATGACGTCTCAAAGCTCTTCCCCCCCCAAAAATATATATATAAAACATGCTTCAAATCGCTTTAAACTATTTTCATTGTCGTGCGTATTTAATGTGGCGCTGCACTCTGATGTTGTAGGAGAAAACATTTATTAAAAAGTCTATTTAATGAAATAGAACGTGTTGTCTATATTTAAAGTTGCGCATTTTGATGTGACGTCACATTTCTCAAACCCCCCACCCCCTTCGTCGCACATCGTCACAAATGTCTGACCCCCCCCCCCTAGGTGCGTGACGTCATTTATGGACGGCCCCTTTGTCTTTCTTCCACACGGGCCAGACATCTTGCCAGAGGTGGGAGCAGCCAGACTTGTCCTCACCAGGTGAGACCTGGCAGCCGACGAACAGCAGCAGCGTGCACACTTCCACTGGGCGGGCAGAGGTCGTTCCTCTGGATTGCAAGTCCAATGTGCTATCCATTGGGCCACATCGGTATGCAAGTCCATTTTATACAAAGGTTATTGTGGTTGGTTAATTATTCTTTTTTCTCATGGGGGGGGGGTGGGAGGGGCGCAATTATTCATCTGACTCACTCCGTCCTGTTGCCTTTGAAAAAGAGGAACTGGAGGCATTTTGAAAACCAGAGCATAAAATGTGTCACCTGTGCCCATTCTCGATGCACAATAGCTAAATGATCACTCATTGTGTGTGTCGTGTGTCATTGGGGGGTTATCCACAATGAGGTTTACAAGAACCGGAGTAACTTGACTCATCAGCCAGTGATTAAGTATTAAAGAGCAGCATCAATAGTGGAATTATGTTTGCTGCCTTTCTTCCTCTTGTCAAGGAGCTGTTATTCAGCATACGTTGCAAGCTTAAGAACATTAGGATGCAAACCGTCTGCATTTGCAGCCAAACCATTGTTTCTCTGCTGCATTCTACCAGTAAATATGCAGCGCGATGCACAACACTCACTGGAATTAGCATGCTGCAAAACCAGTAAATAGCAACCCCTTTGAGAGGAATGTTTGTTTTGAATCGAATGAACTCATTTGTTGATTAGCTTGCAAAGCTGCTTTTAATTATCCAACCTGAAATCCGACCACGTGACTGCAACGGCGAGGCTGTTGCCATGACGGTATTAATCTTTGGCAAATGCAGCTTGCATTTAAAGCTGAGTAGACTCTTGTGGAAGAATAAACCCCCCATCCAAGTTGCATTTGGCAGCATATAATTTGAAAGCTATCCTCAATGAGCCATTACGATTGATGTTGCATGAAGTTTCTGTACACTAGTTTATCCATCATTCAGCCAGTGGTATCCAACCCCTGTAAGTATGATCTTTGTTTAAAGAGGTGGTATCTATAAACTTCAGTGGGGGGAAGGTGGGTTAGCGGGTGGGCATGACACAGTTAATGTTAAACGAAGGCCAAAGACGAGCTACGCGAGCCCACACATAAATGCTGATTTACTGAACTCACGCAAATGTTTTTAGACAGTGTTTTTTTTATATGTTTACGAATGTTCGCCGCTGTGAGGATGTAGAAGCAGCCGTAACCTCTCTGGCTCACAACAACAGGGGGAATACAACTGGCCTAGGTAGCGGTAATGGCTTGCTATGCATTGCATACGATAGATGAGACCAATCACAGCCTTTTGGTAAATCTACTGCTTGATGAAGGTTTCCTAATTCTGTGTTGGTCATGGGGGTTGTTTGACCATAACCTATTTATATTTTCCATATGCGACCTGGCTATTACAAATGATAGCCCAACGAAGTGGCTTGTAGTGTGTAAATATATAACGGCCAACTCCTCTAAAACGCGTGTTTCTAGACACGGCTACGGGGAGAGAACATGCAAACTGCAAATATACAACAGCCGTCAGGATAGGGATCGAATCCACGACCTCCTGTATACTCGGCGAGGTAGTTAACATCTCCTAGTCACCGTGGCGCCATGCCTGGCCAGTGTGGATTGGTGAAAGTGGGGGCAGGGTGGGAACTTCGACCCAAAAAACATTTTGAGAGAACACTCGCCACTGGTGTTAGCCTGGACCGGGAATCAAACCCACGTGGCCGAGTTCATGACGCAGTGCAGGGGCCACTACGCCACTGCCAGCCAGTCAGTCTGTGTATTTTGGGTAAGGCCCCCTGACCTCAGAAGCTCGTTTTGGATGGAGACTCAGGTCGCACGAGTGATTGGATAACAATATTTAAACAGCAGCGAGGCTTTTAAACCGACGATAACGATTAAGGTGGTTGCCAATGACGATGACCGTACCGGGCTTAATAAGTGTTTTGTTTTTGTTTTCACATTAACAGGCAAAACGAAATGTGGAGCGAAACGTCGGAAATCGTGTCGAACAACACGTGGTGCAACCCAGAAACACGTGCAAGGGCTACACACTGGAAATGGTGTCTGAGTGAACTTAGAAACTGTGCACTTTGTATTCGTGGAAATCACTATGTGCTTCACTTGTGGGTTTATTTCACCCGGGAAAGCCTCAATGAGTCTCAAGCACTCTTTTTCAGGAGGCTCCTGCCACATTTTCATCGTCAGGGGCGATGTTGCTGCTATGTTTAATCCTAATTGAGTAATTTGCAGGTGCATTTTTAGAATTAGGATGTTTGGCCAATATCATTTACATTGTATGCTATGGGCGGAAACCGGAGAACCCAGAGGGAACCCAAGCGGAGCAGCGGAAAGAACACACAAACTCCAAACAGTAAGGTGCCCGAGTCGGGAATCGAACCCAGGGCCTTCTTGCTGTGCAGTATCAGTGTTACCACTGTCATCCAAATGCACTTAATTTCCATGGAGTGGATCTATCTGTGCGGAGCTCTGAGTGATATCCGCTCGCGCGCGTGGGTCTTTCTCCTAGTGCCCCAGCGTCCTCCCTCATGACAAACACTCACGAATGGGAATTGCCAAACGTCTCAATGCAAAACATGTAAATACAGGGCATCATTATTATTATCATCACAGTAAACGTGTTCATCGGCCACTCCACATTGCGCAAGAATGTGCCAGTATGGGCGCATCGCGCAGGCATGTATAATGTGCACATACCTGTGCAGTGTACAAACCGTGCACGCGTATGTTTACCTGACTCACACTGCTATGTTCAGGTACAATGTGTTTTTGATACACATCAGCGGCTAACCTCAACGCGTGCTGTCGTTGCAACTATGAGTTCAAAAACCAAAGTTACATTGATATGGTTTTTTTAGGCAGTACCGTATCCTCTGAATAATAAGACCTTTCGAAAAATAATCATTTTAAAGTTGGGGGATGTGTCTTATACACCAGTGCGCCCTTGTCAATCAAGTTACAATTGTGCTCAGTGTCCAACCTAAATTCAGCCACTCGGTTTATGGTGCCACTCGGTCTTTGGTGCCACTCGGTCTTTGGTGCCACTCGATTTACATGCCACTCAATGGTGCCGCCCGGTCTGTATATATACTTGTGGGGACAACAGTGTGGGGTTTTGCTTCTACTGGATATGCTTCTACTGGGTAATGTAATTCTCACAGTAGGTGTAATGTCACTGGACACTTTACTCCTGTTGCATGTGCCCATGTGAATGTTTTTGTTGTTGTTGTTGATGTATTTTCCTCCAAACATTGGGGGGTTGCTTCTTATTTTCCAGCTCGTCTCGCAAACAGGTAGTTATTCTGCTAGTTATGCTGGTAGTTATGCTGGTAGTTATGCTGGTTTCTCGGCTGGGCTTGCTCTGGTTTGCGCTGGTCAGCTTATGACAAGACTTACCATCACCGAACTCATGTCACGATTAAAAAAAGAGAATGTGGCGCTTTAACCACCGTTCAGCTGCGTTAGACTTGAAACGCCTCTACATTCACGATCATGTGTGTACGTGCACACACACTCACGTTGGAGCTTCAGTAAACATTTGGGAAGGCACTTTTGGATACTTTTATCAGCAATTAAGCATGGAACTAATAGGTCAACGTTTACTTGCTTCTCATTCAACATTCTGTTAATTATCTTCTAATGCACAGCACTTAAATTCTGGACTCTCAAGTGACCCAGATGCCATTCGCCTAGAAGCCCTACACAGGCTGATGGGCTAAAATATAGATATTTTACATGCAGAGACAAATGAAGGTGAATATATTTTATTACTCACAATTGTCCACATTCGCATAAGGGATTCCAGGGATTATGTTCGTGTGAGTAAAACTACTCACATGCAAGTGCTTACCAAATACTTTAACATTCCAAACAGTACTCCAAATATTCCCTCCTGTTATCTTCCAGTTCCTAACTCAACATTGGCGCCTCCTAATCACACCTTTATAGCTACGGCAGGACCATGGTTAACTGTTCCCACCAACATCATGGGACCTCCTTTGCCAGTACCAAAATATACTAATAGGGTTTTTCCCCTTTTTTCTGGCAACAAAACTGACACCTTTTGCAAGGAATCATGCTTACATTAACCACAATACTTGCAGTCAAATGCAAACAAAAAACAATACTCTAATAATTATCAGAATATTCCTTGCAAAAGGTGTCAGTTTTGTTGCCAGAAAAAAGGGGAAAACCCCTATTAGTATATTTTGGTACTGGCAAAGGAGGTCCCATGATGTTCCCACCAACTTCGCTCCTCGATTGCTCTACCCACGAGGGCCTCGTTCTACCCCGACTGACTGGGTCGTCTCATCCACGCCGTCATTCATCCACCGCATTGCCAGGTCACACAAACACTTCCCCCTTTTCTGCTTCTTTCTTTCGCCGCTGCTCCACTCTGGAATTCCCTCATGCCCATCGTCTTTGTTCCCCATGCCCTTTTAACCTTCGCTTCGCATCTCTGTTAAAAGAATCGGCTTAGGAAAAATGTTTGATCGGGAAGTCTCTGCTTTCTCCTTCACTGCACCCATAGTCTCTGACTCCCTCCCCCCTACTCCCTGTGTTATTGGACTGCTTCCCCCTGTTAAAATCCAGGCTCAAAACCTTGCCCTTTTTTCTCTGCCCATGACCGACTCATTCATTGGCTCATTCACGAATTGACATGTTTTGTTCACTTGACAAACCTTACCAATTGCCTGTGTCGTGTGGTGGCGGGTTTAACTCGAAAAACCTGTTAAGGATGACTCATTCATGATATCAAGGTTATACTGGTAGGAACCTCCTGGTTACACCAGTCCACAGGGGATTGTGTCCGTCGTGCAGGGAGGGGCTGGGTGGGGAGGGTGGGGCTGGGTCGAGGGTGGGAGGGGAGGGGCTGGGTGGGGACGGTGGGGCTGGGTGGTGGGAGGGGTGGGGCTGGGTGGGTAGGGTGGGGAGGGGCTGGGTGGGTAGGGTGGGGAGGGGCTGGGTGGGGAGGGTGGGGAGGGGCTGGGTGGGTAGGGTGGGGAGGGGCTGGGTGGGTAGGGAGGGTAGGGTGGGGAGGGGCTGGGTGGGGAGGGTGGGGAGGGGCTGGGTGGGGAGGGTGGGGAGGGTGGGGAGGGTGGGGCTGGGTGGGGGAGGGGCTGGTCACCCCGTGGCGCCCTTATAAAACTAAACGTTTAACCTACTCACGCCGGCTTGTGCCCGCCCTCACAGTCGGGCATATTTTCGGAATCCACCACGCCGCCGTTGACCCTGGCCATTGACCGAGCAACCCAACGTTCCTACCAGCTCCCTCCGCAGGAATGTGTTAAATACGCCTTCTTTCTCCACTTATTGTGTTCAGTTTGTTGCCCATTCCTCCACACCTCCAATTAGCACGCTTGGTTACGTACGGTGCGAAATAAGTTCTACATACTCTACAGCTTTCTGAGATGCAGACGAATTAAGGTGGTGTTAAATAAATAAAATAATGAAAAAAATATATCACACGCAATTGCATACCACAGATGAATTGTCTTAAATCCTGCAATGTGTCCGCATGAATCGGAACCTCATTAAATGCCCAACATCGTTCTTGTATCGTAGCGCAAAGGATTCTTTACAATTATTTTGTAAAACTTTGCACGTGCGTGCGTGTGTGTGCGGGTTGTTAACATTTACATATGAGTGAGGTACGCGAACAATACAGTACTGGAGTTTTCTTCACACTTAGGATACATTAGTATTGTTTGTGTCACCATAAATCATGCAGTTAGCTATGCGAGTGTTTTAAATATCCTAAACCACGCATCAGGTTTCAGAGCTTCTACGCGTCCGCTTGCATTACGTTTGTCTAAACTACACATTCCATTGTGGAAAGGAATATGGGGGGGGGGGGATAATTAAAAGTTCACATCGGTATTGTTGCAAAGTGCGTTACAAACGACTGCTTAGATTTGTTAATGTATATAAAAAAGAGACTAGTATATTCAATTAATAGAGGTATCAACTTTGTCAATAACTTTCATTTGCACCACACTTTGCACCACACTTTTCAAAGTGCACACTGGGATTTCAATGCCATTCCTTCATACAATACGTAACATTCCCTAATATACGCGTCTTAACAAAGCAAACATAAGCAGATGTAGACAATTCACGATGGTTAAAACTGAGAAATGGATATTAAGAAAACATTTTATCTTAATTATGTTTCCCTTATGCGCTATTTTTTTGAAACATTACGACTGTGTTTTGCATATCCTCGTATGTTAATTGTATGAATTACAATAATCCATTCAATATGTATAAAGTTCACAGTATTATTCAGGTGGGCTCATTTTCACAGGATACACATTCCCCATTGGTGCGCTTAACGGACATTGCTCATAAACATTCGAAAAGTAAAAAAATAAAAGATGAGACGTTGATGAACGTGGCCATGAATCATTCGGTGAAATGTCCATGGAGCGAGCGAGCGGGGAGACAAGAGAACAGCTTCAGAGATAAATAAATAAGGAAACTTTCAAATAAACAACGGTCAAGGTGCAGCCCTGCATTGCTCGCTCACGTCGCTGCTGGCGGAAGGGTCCCCAGGAGAGTGAGCTATAAGAGAGCTCCACTCTAAGAGAGCTCCACTCGACGGTATTTTGGTCTACTCTTCCACGCCGGCCAGACGTCTCGGAAGAGGTGGGCAAACCTTCACTTTACAGAGGCGTGGGAGATTTAAGAAACCTGCACCGCCGTTTCAACCGCCGCCACAGCGGGGAGATCGAATCGAACCCAAGACCGTAACACTACGGCAGTATCCCATGTAAAATAAATATGTAATCAATATACATGTGTGTTCATAATATACATATGAGTCAACCATCAAAGGTCTACTTCGTCACCAAAGGAACAAGATACAATAACATTAAGTCCATCAGTCATTGGGCCTTCTGCGCTAATGTTTTCCAGCGGAAATTAGTTTAAATGGGAAGAAAAGAAACCTCCGCAGGTTTTTAATTTCTCCGAGTCTCATTTAGCAGTGTGTGGCCCATTAAACAAACGACTTGCCTGGTGTAGTGAAGCGCGGCACATGTTTACACACAATTTATGTGCAACTTGGTGGATTGTGGGTCGTAACATGATAAAACTAGAGTTTTATAACCAAAAATTACAAGCGTGGCCTCTAGACCAAAGCATGTATAATTTCTCTAATCTTTTTGTCTCAATTGTATATCTTGGTTGTGTTCTCAGTATGATGCAGATCAGCGCAACCGTTCACGTTACGAAACGTCCCACAGAAGTGGACATCACAGAGCCACTTTCGGAGATCTTTTCCAAGTGGCCTTTGGCCCACGCAGAAGGAGGCAGCCACTTCCAACCCGATCTGCCACTGACAGTGGTGTTTGTTGCATGACAGCCGGACCAATATTTCAATTCTCAGAGGTGGAATTTATCAAAATTAATTGCATAAGCAAAATTAATGTGACTTTTTTTGTTTTGGTACTGTCATTGGTGACCCGACTGAGGCTATCAACTCCGTTTAACACGTAGGGCTTTCGCGACCAATATTATTCATAATAAACGTTTTGGGGTTAGATCGCGTTATCTATAAATGTGTCGTAACCCTCTACCACCCGACACGGCCAATCAGCAAAAACAAAAACTAAATTTTTAATGTTGTGGATTCACGCTTCAACACACCGGTGGGCTAAAGCAGTGAACTATTTGTCTTTGTCAACGTGACACTTGTTTTTGCTGATTGGCCGTGTCGGGTGGCGAAGGGTTACAACACAGTTATAAATAACGCGAGCTATCAACTCACTCCACTTTAAAACCCGGCTTAAATCATGATTTGGCTGCCTGGATTTGAACACCAGATCTGAGACACCAGGTCACCTCAAAATGTAATGTTTAAAATAAATAATAAAATATTACTCCTTGTGCACTGTTCAATTCCATGTTATTGTATTACCCACAATCAATAAAGAAAGAGCATGATGGTTTTAGGAATTATGGAGATGCATTTGAAAAAGTCACGTACGCAATGGATAGATTTCAAACTGTCCAAAAGACAATCATTCTCAGAGCACTGAGATGACCTCATAAGCAAATGTCCAATTTATAAACAATCGCTGAGAGTTGCTTATGAAATGAAGTAAATAAATAACATGAAGCAATTCTGAATGTGTTTTATGTTTTAGTATTGACGGTCATAATACTAATATATGATTCTAATGGGCAGTGGATTTTTTTTTTTACGACGGCATTTGGCGCCACGGTGGCGAGATGTAATCGCCTCGCCTGGTGTACAGGAGGCCGTGAGGTCGACCCTGATGTCTGTATATTTGGAATTTGCAAGTTCTCCCCGTGGTCGCGTGGATTTTTTTTCCGGGTCCTCCGGTTTGTCTCTCCACATTCAGAAACGTGCGTTTTGAGTATTTGGCTGCTATAAATTTCCACGTGATAAGCCACTTAGTTGAGCTGTCATTTGTGATAGCCCAGTCGCTTCTGAAAAAAATCACTATATAGCTCAGCGGGCCTTATCTGGTAAAACAAATATATATATAGCTCATAGTTTCGATTTAAAGCTTTCGTGGCTGCAGGGATTCATCTTCTTGGTTCTTTCGGTAAAGTCACGTAGAAGGAAAAAAAAATTAAGTAATTATTTTATTATTAATGAAACATAATAAAATAATTATTTTATTATGTTTTATTTTTATTATTTTATTACTTCCCTTCTACGTAACTTTACCGAAAGAACCAAGAAGATAGCTCATAGTTATTTTAATTCTGCAAGTTATCCACCATGCCTTTTACAACATGTTTTTAAAACTGAGGCTAGCGCGCACAGGAGGGCAGTGTTGAGCAGAAAACGGCCCTGCTGCGAAAACGCGTGCGAGAGATCCATCAAACAGCCGTGCAACGCCCGTGAAATGTCTCGAGTGGTAGCAGGTTTGCGGCTCGCCTCAGAGATTAGCGGGTTTGAGCCCTGCAGCCACCCTGGTTAACGCTGCGGATGCATTCATCGCAAATAACGCAAGTCCTCGTTTGACGCGTTAGACGCGTTCCCGAAAAGTGTCGCGTGAAGCGGTTTCAAAAGCGTTACGCAAAAAGAATCTCCCCACAAATAATGAAAAGTTTGGCGAGATACGATGTACGCACGCGCAGTGAGATGGCAGGACAAATAACTGAGGGTAAACCGCCACATGACCATATCGTTCCGGATACCGTATCACTGTACCGCTCAGTCATGCAGCTCAAGAAAGTAGTTCGCTGTCGAGCGCTCCGAAACCGCGTTATAACGGTGCACGTTCCGTGTTGTGTGAAACTGAACCGCGTTATAGCGAAAACGCGTCGTGTGAACAAGCGTTAAGCGAGTACTTACCGTACGGTACTGTGCACTGTATGCTTTTTCATGTTTAAAGTTCCCACGACGTTTTATATATATTTTTAAAGAGAGGCGGACATGTACGTATGTTGAACTTTTTTCGCACCGTATGTAGCCAGCCGTGCTAATTGGAGGTGCTGGGGAAGGACGACAAACTATGGTCATGGTCAAAATTATCCAAAAAGTCCCCGCCATATTAATTTTCATTTGGTTAAAACCACGTTACAACGTCTCTCCATTGTGAGCCGAACAAAGCCCACCGGCCGTGACGTAACCCAGTCATGCTGCTGGGTGGACAAGGGCGAGGAGAAATTTAGAAACCCTATTTCAACTGCCACACAATGAGATCGAATCTAACTGTCGACCTCTGGACGGACAGTCCAGTGTACGGACCATTACCCCCACAGCAGCATCCCACAAAGTGACGTATTAACTTACGAGGAACGCGATACGAAAACCAGCTTGCCGTCTGGGCAGTCCCAGGATTGCCTTAGGAAGGCGTTGCAATTCGTGGCCACACAATATTACCGTTACTAAAGTTAACTTTTTTATTTTACCATGTAAAGCGATCTGGCCACAAATTATAGCCCAGTGAAGTTGCTAATCATCTGAAAATGTATAGCAGCCAAACCCTCGCGTGTTTCTAAATGTAGAGAGAAAAAGCAGAGGACCCAGAGAAAAATTCACGTGACCATGGGGAAAACATGCAAACTCCAAATATACAGGCATCAGGGTTGGGATCGAACCCACGACCTCCTGTATACCAGGCGAGGTCGTTAACATCTCATCACCGTGGTGACAGCGTAACGCTACCCTTGACAGTGAGAACTTGTGACTCATGCGAATGCTATTGTGCTTGAGTCTAAGAGCTGCATTAAACGCGGCAGAAATTCGTGAGCGCGTACATTTTCTTGTCCATGTTTTGTTGCCATTCAATGGGTGCGGAAAACATAGCTTTACCGCCCAATTCGTAGACAATTGTGTAATGTTTAATGTAAAGATATGTACAAAGTGCTGGTGAAATAGTTTTGGAAATGAGATGTAAAATTATAAAAAAAACTCACAATTCTTACTTTTTTTCTCTCTACCCAACACTGACATCGTAAATTGTAAGATTAAGAAACAGATTTTAGACATTTTTCCTTAGCTTGATGTCGAAACATTCTCACCAACCCATGCACGTGTGCAGTTGTTTACGATACATTTAGATGGGTGACGCAATGCTCACATGGCATGACTCACGCAAGAAGGCTGTGAGTTACCATCCAAAGTGCACGTGTGTATGTTGAACTTCTTTCGCACCATACGTCGCCAACCGTGCTAATCGGAGGTGCGTGAGTGTGGGATTTACTCGCTCTGTCATCCCTCTGTGTTAAATAAAATCGGAGCCACTTATGTAGAAGGCGAACAGCGCTGTCTCTCACGGATACATTCACCCCCACCATGTGAACGTGGAATTCCCAGCTCTGGCAACGGATTTGTCAATAGGAGATTAGCGCCTCTCTCTCTCTATTGCTGTTTTGGGCAGGGGAGAGTTTTCCTTTGATCTTGAATTAAATAGTTTTAGGAATGTCGAGGTGACCGGGTGGCTCAGGAGTCAGAGCACAAAGCCAGCACCGGTAAGAACCTGGGTTCGAATCCAGGCAGTCGCTCCGTGAGTAAAACTGGGTCCTCCGGTCAAATAAGTGGATGGTCTCGGCCTAGTCTTGATAATTGCACGCTATATATATAAATCATGTGAAAATTTGTTTTATACTCAATTTGGCTAAACTCCAACTCTGAGATAGAAACACATCTGTTTGACGGACTGCCATTTGACAGTTGCAGAGCGTGTGTGGAAGTCAAACTCTAGAGTGTGTGGTTCGATAAAAGTCGTTATAAGGAATCTCAGATCTCGGAATTAGTTCTGTGACATCTCCTTCCACATGGGGTGATGCACTGCTCTGTGTTTGTTCCAAATGTATGCTCCTCCATCTCGTGTCGTGAAGCCGTTAGAACAATTTTAATACAATTTAGAAAAAACCCAAAATCAAAGTGCACCGTGTAATATGGAGCTTTGCATCGCACGTGAAAACGAAGGCCCCACAACGGATTAAGCCTGCGATTCGAAAATTCCCACAAGGGATCACGTGAACGCAGAGCCAATCACCCAAGATTCAGAATTATCCACCGAGCGGAGGGGCGGGGGAGGTGGGGGGGTTAGGGGCTGCAGCCTGGGGCCTCGGATTTTGAGGGGGCCTCCCCAAAAATGCTTACCGCTATTATAATCGATAAAACGCGATTCTGTGGTACTGCCATAAATGCTCTGGGTGATTTGTTACGATTTGTATATCGTTTTTTAAAAACCAGAAGCGAAATAAATTGCCAGAGGAAATGAAAAATGTAGTGTTTGGCATTGAACACGAGCGGTGGAAAAATAGTACTGCGGGCGCTTTACTAGAGGGAGCTCTGGAGAGAGTATTTGGCCTACTCTTTCACGCTGGCCAGACATCCTAGAAGATGTGGAAGTAGCCACCCTTCACACCACCACCTGTTACATGCCGATCAACTGTGTGATTGTGCCCACTTAATAATCATGAAATTATTCTGGTAGGAATCTCCTGGTTACACCAGCCCACAGGGGATTATTGTGTCCGTCCGTCCGTCGTGCAGGGAAGGGCTGGGTGGGGATGGTGGGGAGGGGCTGGGTGGGGATGGTGGGGAGGGGCTGGGTGGGGAGGGTGGGGAGGGGCTGGGTGGGGAGGGTGGGGAGGGGCTGGGTGGGGAGGGTGGGGCTGGGTGGGGGGTGGGAGGGGTGGGGCTGGGTGGGGAGGGGCTGGTCACCCCGTGGTGCCCTTATAAAACTCAAAGTTTAACCTACTCACGCCGGCTTGTGCCCGCCCTCACAGTCGGGCATATTTGCAGAATACACCACGCCGCCGTTGACACAGGCCATTGACCGAGCAACCCAACGTTCCTACCAGCTCCCTCCGCAGAAATGTGTTAAAGCGACCTTAAACAATCGTTCTCAGGGTTGCTGTGCATGGCGAGGCGGAAACAGTTTAATGTCAACACAAGGAAGGAAGAGGTTGAAAATAACTAAAGAGAGAGAGAGAAAGCCATTTGAAACGTACACGTTTTTAGTCGAGATTTGAATATTTGTAGTCTGCCTCGTAAGCCGTGACCTCGAAGGGAAACGAGTTCTAGAGTTCAGGTGCCGCAATTGCAAAGGCAACGATCATCACCCCACGTGTGAAGCCTGGACCCTGGGACGGTGAGCAATGCACAATCTGAAGATATTAGTGACCTTGATGGAATATATGGCTGAAGGAGGTCATAATTGTAGGGAGGAGCAAGTCCATTTATAATGCTGAGTGGAGAGATGTATGTATGTATGTGCGTTGAAGGTATTTTGCACCGTACGTAGCCAACCGTGCTAATCGGAGGAGAGATGGGGAAGGCTGTGTCAACTGATCGAAGTGGTGACCTCTGGATTGCGAACGATAAGATCATTGTAGCATCCCAAAAAAAAACAGTACCAGGGAAAACAAAAATTAATATACACAGAGAGGGCCCCTCAAAAGCATAACAGCCCCATACGTACGTGCGTATGTATACATGTTGAACTTCTCTCACACCGTACGTAGTCAACCACGCTAATCGGAGGTGCGGGGGAAGGACAACAGACTAAACACAAAAAGCACTTCTAAAGAAACGAGTTTTCAATCTACATCTAAGCTAATCGAGCACCGGTTCATCCGAGCTCTACCGCGGGATCGTCCGTGTTCATGTGGATGATGAGGTAGGAGAGCAGCTGACACAGATTCTGCCACATGAGCATGGAGAAGAGGAAGGTGATGTCGCTTACGTCAACTTCGCAGCGCACTCCGGCGAAGTCCGCGTAGCATATGCACTCGAAGGCGCCCGCGTGGTCGATGCAATGGCCACCGTTCTCGCAAGGCCCCGACGCGCATTCGTCGATGTCCTCCTCGCAGCTGGGGGGGGAGGGGGGGGTGGGTTCGTGCGGTAGGCAGTGCGGGCAGATGGAGAGACGGGGCACATGGACGAATAGACAGAGACGTGGACGGATGGACGGAGAGGTGGATAAAAGGAAAGATGTAGAGATGGATGAACACGTGGGCAAAACATAGAGAGAAAGAGGTGGATGGACGGACGGACGAATGAATGGACACATTGACAGAGCAAGAAGGTGACGGATGAGTAGATGGATACATGGACAGACAGATGGATGGATAAGGGCACAAAAATGAAGGCAGACAGATGAACAATGTGGAAAAACATCGAAAGAAACTGGTGGATAGAGAGACAGATGGATGGACAGACAGGCAGATATAGAGAGAGATAAATGGACATACATACAGATGGACAAACAACAGATGGTGGATAGATACAGATAAATGGTTCAACCAAGACATGGATAAATGTACACAGATGGATGGATTGATACATGGACAGAAAGACAGATGATTGTGAATATGAACAGACAAACAACCAGACAGAAACAAAGAACAATAAGGTAAGCAAACAGCCACACACATAGTTCATGATTCACTTATCTCGACCTCTTTAGGAGTGGGTTAGTACACGTGTGCAAATAGACACACACAAGTGATGAAATGAGAACTCCCACGTTATTCAACGACGCTGGTGTGATGTCAACAACTGGTGTATCATACGTAAACAAGGTCATATGTTAAGGCGAAGGTCAAGCCCTGAAACGTCTTGCTAACGCCACTGCGGACAGAAGGGCATCCACGCTCCGAAGCTCCGAAGGGCTCCTTTAAAAGAGGGTGTTTATTTTTTGGTCTACAATTCCACACTGGCCAGATGCCTTCAATGAGGTTGGAGCAGCCCACACTTCAACGCAAACAAGCCAACGTAAGTAAAAAAGAAAACGGGTGGACAGGACAATCCTTCCGGGAGTGGCGTGAGCAAAGCAATTGCAGAGCTGCGGCTTTTAACTTTTAGCGGGGCAAAGTGAAGGCGTCGCGTCGCGAGAGCGCGTGAGCCTGCGCTGGGCCGCACCTGTAGCCGCGGTAGCCGGGGAGGCAGTTGCACTTCCCTCCCATCTCCGTGTTGGTGCAGTTGGCTCCGTTCTCGCACGTGACGTTGGGGCCGCACATCACCGGCGGGAATCTCCACCTGCCCGACCACAGAGCCACCAGGCAGTCTCGTCAACGCACGACATTCACTGCGGCCGTCTGGAACGCTCTTCCTTCCGATATTAGGAGGCCATTGGACCTTGTGTACTTTTAAATCTGGATTTGAAAGTTTTTTTAAACGGCGTTTTTGTGTTTGGTTTCTTGTCCTTCTCCCCCACCTCCAATTGGCATTGTTGGCTACGTACAGTGCGAAAGAAGTTCAACATACATAGATACATCCATCGAACAAAGACGGTCACCGCATCGCGCACTTTCAGGTGCGCTTTTGTGGCCATCTGGATCACTATTCCATCCGATATTAGGAAGCTAATGGAGCTGTGCACTTTTAAATCTAGATTAAAAACGTATTTCTTTAAAAGCGCCTTTTGTGTTGAGTTTGTGGAAGGAGATATGACAGAACTAATGTAATAACGAGATTCCTTAAAGTAACATTTTTGTTATCCACGCACTTCGGGGTTCCACTTTCACGCACGCCTTGCTACTATCACACGGAAAGCCAAACTGATGTTGAAATTCTCAGAGATGGAATTTATTCTAATTAATTGATTTTTTTTCATTCACTAACTTTCATTGAAAGTAAATATATATATATTTTAATGAACAAACTTTTTTTTATTTACGTGCAAAAATAAGGGATTGCAAGATTTCCAGGATCAGATCTCGTGATAAGGCTGAGACGGCCAACAGATCGCTGGTGAATGGCACGGCTAAGTCCGGTTCGCCCACACAACCTATGAGCAAATATCGCTTGCCACTTAAGACTGCCGTGGCCAGGAATCAAACATATGTGATCTGGCTTTGCAGTGTAGCACACTATCGACTGAGCCACTCACTTCTCCTCAACAAACACACAGACAAATTATCTCCCCCATATAGGCTTAATAGGCTGCTGGGGCAAGTTCCGTTAGCAAGCACCTATGAAGGCTTGCCAGCACTACACCAAGTCTTCTTTGTCTCCCCAGTGCCTATGTTTACGCATCGCATCAGGTACTCAGTTGAGGCTGAGTTGATTTAGGGGAGGACTGGGACTGGTTAAAATATTCGTCAGTTATTGGTCATGAGCAGGAATTGAATTTGGGTTGCCGGGTTAATAGCTCAGCGCGCTAACCACCACAACAACAACACCCGCCGTTCGCCGCTAAGCAACGTTGACGTCACCACGGCGCTTGTGCCAGGCTATGTGCACTTTAAGGCCAAGTAAATTGCCGAACGCTCGCTGGCACGAAGTCACGAAACAGACCCACACAACAGCGGGGACACGAGAACTCACGGGGTGGTTAATGCCGCCGCCGCCGCTGCGATGTCAGCGGCCGGTGTGAGCACCAGATTTCTTGAATGACGCGAGAGCAGGAGGAAGGAAACAGAAGAGTGAATGAAAGCGACGAAGGAAAGGCAACGATTTTGGCACAGAGGACCTCGGTGGTCATGGAAATGGTGAATTTGAAAAAGGCCGTGAAATATTTTGACTGCTGTGGAAGCACATTGCATTGGGTGCTTCCTTAATTTCCTTTTTAAAAAAATGCCGTACTGGGTCTCTTTCTACAAATAAAAATAGGTTAAATTTCGATTTAAAGCTTTCGTGACTGCAGGGATTCATCTTCTCGGTTCTTTCGGTAAAGTCACGTAGAAGGGAAGTAATAAAATAATAAAAATAAAACATAATAAAACAATTCTCACGACGTTTCGGCCACAACGCAAGCAGCCGTCCTCAGGTGAAAACCAGGTCCGTCGAGGCGAAAATAGTGAAATTTAGGTGGGACATCGTTTCTGTTCGTGAAAATCGTAGCCGTGGACAAAAGTTTTTTTGGCAGTACTTCACTTGCGTCACTAAGGGTGATTTCACATTTAAAGTTTTCCCACGGAGACATTTGTACAAGCCCACAGCGGATAGAAAAGAGAAGAGATGATCAGAATGTGGAATAACGAAGGTCAGAAAGATGATAAACTTAGCAGATTGAGCCAAGTTCAGACTGTCGACCAGAGAGTGACATCACAGGCACCAAATCCAGAACAGAAACTGAACATTGCGAAATGTTGCTGCGCCACATGTTATTAGACTTCACCCCCACCTCCACCTTTTAAGAGTTGTGAACAAGTGTTCCAGTGAGCACAGAACAACATTTCACATTGCCAAACGCCAAACCTTGGCTGGCAAAGTGCAGCAAAAGGCACATTGGGCAACTCTTATGCGTTGTTATGAGATTTAAAACCACCAAACGCCAACAAAAAAATAAGAACTTTTTAAATGAACGGTGACTTAAAAAGTATTTATGTTAAGGTTCCAAATAAGCGCACCATATTTTCCACGTTACAAAAAGGCAAAAAAAAACTACGTTTGTTGCTGTTATAAAACACGACATCGGGTAATTGGGAAATGACGTAATAAAATATAAACTCACGGAATTTTATAGTGGCCACTTGGAATACGGTAACGGTGGAAGTAGCCGTGTGGTGGCAATAAAGTTGTTGACTCAACCCGGTGCCAATCGAGTAATTGCTATTTATCACAGAATGTTTCAACATTTAATCGTTTGACGGGAGCCATATCATTTTGCCCAGTGGCAGCACTGGCTCCAGAACGAGGAAGCTAAAAACCCATCTCTGGAGGTGTTTTCGGAACCATGAATTCATTAATTTGATGCGCAACGATGAATGACCATGCGGCGCATGTAACTGGATTGATTGATGTGTGACAGCACGAGGCTGTCGTCTGTCTGTCTGTCCATCCATCTCTCCGTGTGCCTGACCCTTTGTCTGTCTGTCTGTCCATGTGTCCGCCCGCCCGCCTATTGCGTGCACTCACTCGCAGTAGGTGCCCGTGAAGCCCAGCGGGCACGCGCACACGAAAGCTCCGATGCCGTCCACGCACGTCGCGCCGTTGACGCAGAGCCTCGCGCCCCCCTCCCTGCACTCGTCCCGCTCGCGCTCGCAGTTCTCCCCCTCGTAGGCGGGGAGGCACTCGCACGCGTAGGCCCCCGGCAGGTCCCGGCACGTGGCCCCGTTGGCGCACGGCCGCGACGCGCACTCGTCCACCTCCACCTCGCACGCGTCGCCGCGCCAGCCCGGCGCGCACTCGCAGCGGAAAGAGTCGAACGCGTCCACGCACGTCGCCCCGTGGGCGCAGGGCGCCGCGGCGCACACGTCCTCGCCGACGCAGCCCCGCGCCGGCGGGCGGGCGCGCACGTCTCGGTCGGCCAGCTCGAACCGCTCGGGCTGCGGCCGTCGCAGCCGCAGCTCCGAGTCGGGGAGAAACGGGAGGTGCAGCCCGCCGATCTCCGCGTGTCCCACGCAGCCCCGGAAGCGGCCGGCCCGCCCCCCGCCGGCGCCGCCGTCTTCGTTCTGCGCGAGCGGGGCCCCCCCGACGCGCACCGCCGCGCCGTCCCTCCGCAGGAAGTTGAGGCTGCCTGCCGCGCTCCGGCTGATGGCGATGCTGCCGCCCTCGCCGCCGTTGTTCGCCGGCGGCGGCGCCTTGTCCACCGTCATGATCCAGCGCGAGAAGCGTGCGCCCGGGTCGCTCATGGACAGCACGATGCTGTGCCAGTGACCGTCGGTCACGGCGGTGGCGCCCACCGTCTCGGCGACGCGGTCGCCGCTGCGCAGCCAGAAGCGCGGCACGGAGCCGGCGATGTGGAGTCGCATGGAGTCGGGCGGGCTGGAGGCCTGGAGCAGCGCGGCGTTGGCGGCGCGCGTGCGCACGCGCAGCGTGACGTTGGTGAGGTCGTGCAGCGGGCCGTTGCTGCCGCCGCCGTCGCTCGTGTAGCTGAGCTCGATGGCGGTCGCCGCGCCGAACGTCGCGTTGCTGATGCCTGTGGCGGCCGGCGGACGAGAGAGAAAGAGAGCGACGCGGTGTTAGGTGGGCTCAAGCACCGAAGCCACGGTGTGGCACTGTGGTTCGACAGCATGGCGGACGGTCGGAGGCTTCGGGAGTTTGTGTCCGGTTGTGTGTCGGCTAGGTTAGTCGTCCCTCCAGCGTCTATTACATCATTGCTGTGGCTTCAGGTTGCGAGATTGATTTCCGTACTTGACCCGCCATCCGGGTTGGCTACGTACTGGTGGGAAATAAGTTCACCATACATACATGCAATCGCTGTCATCAGGGGTTGTGCTATGGATGGACTAGCTCTAGCTATGAGAATGTGGAGTTTCCAACACTAGTTCAGGGCAACCGAGTTAACTGAGCAACACCCATTTTCGAGCTTTTATAAAAATGAAAAATTATATTATGGATTGTATTTTTGCTCGTTATCATGGGGCTTAGCGGTGTACAGAGGGCAGTGCAGAAAAACCTTCCGCTGTACTGTACTTCTGTGTGTCCATGTCTGTGCAGCTTGTATTGACTAATTTGCACCGACTCTTGTGGATTGGCAAAGGACTGTCACAGGAACATTATCACCACCTGCCGTGAAGCCAGTGGCTCAAGAAGCCGCTGGAAGAAGATGTACACATGTTGAACTTATTTCACACCATCGGTAGCCAACCGTGCTAATTGGAGATGCGGAGGAAGAACAACAAACAAAACACAAAAATCAGTTTTAAATAATTTAGTTTTTTTCCATCTTGATGTAAAAATGCACAGCTCCAGTAGCTTCCTAATATCGGAAGGAAGAGCGTTCCAGACGGCCGCAGAAGCGCACCTGAAAATGTGCGATGCAGTGACCATCTTTGTTCGATGGATATACGGTCATACCTCGGTATACGACCGCTTTGGAAAACGCAGAATTTGGTATACGTCGTGTTTTGACGAGAAAAACATGTCTTGGGATACGACGTCTTGCTTGGGATACGACGCGCTTGCTAGAACTTGTATGGGTCGGGATGAGTCACCGCGTACCCGCGTAGACCCCGCTCACGACTGAAACAAAGCGCCGCTCCTCAGTCTGCCTGTACGGTAGATGTCATTCAGTGCACAACCCTTGCTATAACTCTCTGTGAATTTTCACGTGTTTTTGTCATTTTAACGTGAATTTTTTTGCGAATTCATTCAACTCCTCTCAGCAAGGTAAAGTGATGTTACATTTTTTTTTATTTCAATTTATTTTTACTTATTTATGCATCTATTTTAATTTACGTATGCATTTTAGTAATAAGTAGTGTCTAAATTATTTTATACAACCCCACTAATGTATAATATGCCATATAAAATATAATTTCTTATACTCTGGAACGGATTATTTCCTTTCCCTTTATTTCTTATTGGAAAAATTCGATTGGTACACGTCATTTTCGGTGTAAGTCCTACCTTCTGGAACGAATTAACGACGTATACCGAGGTACCAGTGTATATAAAGATAGAGAAGGGGTGGGGGGATTGGGGAGGATTGGGGGGGGGGGTGGCGATGCCTCACATTCAAAACCGTTGTGCACATCGTGGCAGAGGCTGGAGGCCGGGCAGGGCGACAGGGCGCACCACAGCTGCCGCTCGCACGACTTCCCCGCGTAGTCGTGTGGACACTCGCACGTGAAGTCATTCCACGTCACGGTGCACGTGCCTTCGTGCATGCACGGGGAGGACTGCGGTGAACGGGAGAGGGAGAGGGGGAAACACAACGGACGGATCGATCGCTCGTGCGGATGCAGCACACCCGCGAGACGTTGCTAGATGTCATCCCGAGCGTCTGTTAAGGCCAAAAACAAGTATAACCAGTAAAAACAAAGTTTTTCACTATAAATCCTTTATATGCGTGGCGGCTAGAGTCCTCTCGTCCTCTGGCTTGAGATGGCTGCCACCTATGGGTCAGATGATTGCATTGCACCATAAAGCAATTGGTAATTAAATATAATATTTTTGTCCTAAAAAGTGTAAAATTTTGGAAAAAAAATTTCACGAACATTAATTGTCACGCACAACGAGTCTGTGTGGAAAATGTCAGCTCGATTGGATCACGGGAAGTGGGTTAAAAAACGACCGAAAGATTTGCACGGTCCTAAGCAAGCAAGCGAACTTAATATAAAGGATTTAAAAAGGAAAACACGCAGGGCGAGAAGAAGGATTCTGTGTCGGTGTTGGTTTGCAAGCGAGCACGGCGCATGGGGGGGTGGTGTGGCCAGCACCGGAGCCTAAATAAACAAACAAAAATCCACCAGGCACAGATTCAGAACTGTCAAAATAACGCAAAACAATTATGAAAACTGTGTATTGTCGTGTAGAGCACTGATACACGTGAGGATCTCATCGGTCAAGAAAGATGGAAAGCAAATGAAATGTAGTGGGTTTACTCCCCGACAGATCGGGGTGCTGAACTAGTAACTAATTAAAGCGACATCTTGACTTTCGTCCACTTGACTTTCGTCGCTTTGCTCTTTCGGCCGTTTTCAATTATCACCACAAATTCCTCTTTCGTCCGATTTCATCCCCAAACCTTCCACGACGTTCGCGCCACGCGCCGTCTTTTTAGTTCAGTCTTTGAATAGAAGTCGTTCAGTGAGCATCTCTTATATTTGTGTTTATTCACATATCATTAATACTGTACTTATTTCTGTGATTATACTGTCAACAATTCATAGTTATTTTTGTGATAACAGTAATACTACAGTGTTCATAGTTATTTTCGTGATTATAAAACACGTGTACAGTATTCATACCGTGCTTATTTTTGTGATTACTGTTAAATACTTATTTTTGTGCTTTCATATATTCATATGGGTCCTAAGTGTGGTGATAGCAAAGCTAAAATAACCCATGAGGGTCTCACTTTGCAAGAAGAGCTTGACCTAGTCAAACTTAATGGACAAGGCATGTCCCATGCTGATATAAGTCGCAAGCTAGGCGTATCTCGCACAACAGTTAGTACAAATCTTAAGAATAAATCTAAAGTGTTATATAGTTACCCTAGTTATTTGCATGTACGTTTTTATATTTACTGTAGTTATTTGCATGCACGTTTTTCGCCGGCCAAAATAAATTCGCAAGGCTTTGAAATTCGTCCATTTTACACGCTATCATTTAACTCACTCTGTCTGTTGTTGTTGTTGTATCCTCAAATCCTGTAACTCAATTTTAACCCACTTCCCAATGTGGTATCGACTGATAACTTGGAATATTTAATCCATACTGATGACAATACTTTATTCTATCATAAAAAAGACTTATATTTTTTTATGTTATGTTTTGGCTTGGGTCTAATTCTCCACGGTAAACTGACGTTGGCTGTAATTGGCCATGGTCCCTTACGTTATGGCAAGCTTCAGGGCCACTTCCTGGAGTCGTGGAGGTCTTCCATTACTAGTAGATTTCTATAAAGCGTGTTTAAAAAAAAAGTTGTTTTAAATATTACTTATTTATTTGACATTCGTCCATGCTCTGGTCCCTCACCAGATGAAAGTGCGAGGTCTTCCTGTAGCACGTTGTGTTTACATCACACAACCTTACTAATTGGCTGTGTCGCGGTGGTGGTGGTTTAACGACACATTCACATTTACGCGATCTACACCCAAAAAAATAAAATCTTTATTGTGAAAAGTATATTCTAGATTTGAAGCTTTGGTGACTGCAAGGATTAATACTTTTAGGTTTTTTTCGGTAAAGTCACGTAGGTAGAAAAACTATTAAAATTAATAAAATGAATAAAATTCTTATTTTTATTTCTATTATTACTTTTATTAATTTTAATTATATTTTTTTACCTACGTGACTTTACCGAAAAAACCTAAGAGTATGAAAAGTAGAGTTTGTCCGAGAAGCAGGAAGAAGCTAAGCGACAGGCCTGGACGCACGCATTACTGGGCTCTGGCCAGCGCTCCACTCGATCAACCTTCACAGCAGAAGCCGGGATATGAGCACACTTTGGATATAAGCACAGCTGGCCTCACTCCAAGGGGTGTGCTTTTATCCAGATTCCACGATACAAAACTAGACGGCAGCCCGTATTAGACACCGGGTGAGACTTCCCTATTAGCTGCGTCCGACCAGTCGGCCAGATGGCACTGTGGGTTGTAGCATCTGACTGACGATAGGAAGGTTTCAAGGTTAAATCTAAGCTCAACTGAGCCTCTTATCCCGAGGAGCACGTTGTGTGAAGTCAACGGTGGCCATCGTATGGAGAGCCTGGCCCCTGCCACGGGAATATGGAGGGGGAGATCCCGACTCTAGAGTTGACTCCGTCGCCGCAACTGTGGTGGACGCCGCAGCTGCCGAGCGGTAATCTCATCCCCTCCGGCGGTGTTTTTTCGGCAGCTGATTTTCCGCGCGAAGCTCCCGGCCCACGGAGCCAAACGTGGGACATCGCGCCACAACGATGCGTGGTACAACCCCCAAAGAGACACCTGTGGAGTTCCACAAACGCGCTCACGTGGCGTTACCCTAAAGACGGCGGCACGAGGAATCGTCGCCGAAGCCTTTGCCACCTTTATTCGCAGTCACTCTGTGTCTCCTTTTCCCGCTCTCGTCTTATTCAAGGAAGCTGCTCTCATCGGCACCCCTTGAGTTGTGGTGTCCCCGCGCTCGTGTGTTTATACCTCTGGGGAGTGGGAGTGCAGCGGTTAGCGCGCTGCTGCGCTACGGACCTGACGACGCGAGGTCAATTCCCGCTCACGGCCACCGCACGTGACGAATAATCTTGACCGGTCCCGTGCCTCTCCTAGGTCTACTCAGCCGCAAATGAGTACCTGACGTGCTGTGTAAATGTCGCCACTGGGGAGACAGGCGGCCGGGCGTGCTGCTGCCCGTCAACCCCGTCGTGTGCCGTGCCCGCCTTCGTGGGTGCTCACAAACAGCACTTGCCCCAAAAGTCCATTAAGGCGATACGGGTGAGATCTTTGTCTTACATCTGTTAAGGGGAGTGGCCCAGCGGTTAATGCGGCGCAGTCCGAACCTAACGAGCCAAGCGTGCAACCGCGATATAAAAAAAAAACCCTCACGCGTTCGTGATCTCACCCGGCACGCGTCGTCGCTGCCGCAGCCTTGCCACACGTTGAACAGCGTCGCGTTGCCCCGGGACGCCGACCTCGCTTCCCGGCCCTCGACCTCCAGCGGGAAAAACTCGAGCGTGAGCCCGTTGACGCGCACGTCCTGCAGGCAGCCCTTGAACTGTCCGGGAGCGCCGGGGAAAGCGGCGTCGGCGGGCAGCCCCCCGACGAAAACCCGGTCGCCCGCCGACAGCGACACGGGCGTCAGGTCGCCCACCGCCACCGTCTCCCCCGAGATGGCGATCGTGGTGCGCCCGAGCGGAGAGACGCGGACCTCGACGAGGCGCCACTCGCCGTCGCCCAGGTCCGGCATGGCGCCGGACGAGGCGGTGGTGCTGGTGCTGGTGGTCGCCGTGGTGCTGAGCTTGCGGCGGCTGTCGGTGCGAACGCTCACGAGCCCGGCCTCGAGCCACACGCTCGCGGAGAGCGCGGACGACGGGGACGAGGAGTTGCGCAGCGCGAGGAGGAGGCCGTCGGGCCGGCGCGTGCGCACGAACGCGGAGATGACGACGGACGACGAGGAGGTGGAAGATGCATTAGCGTCGCCGCCGACGAGGTTGTTCAGCTCGAACTGCGCGTAGCTGTTCACGCCCTCGTGGGAGAAGGTCGCCATCTCGTACTCTGTGCGTGCGTGGGAGAAGACGAAGGAAGCGAAACGCGAGGGGGTTAAGGCCCTCGAGCGCGAAGAGAGTGGAGCGTGATGTGGCTTGCAGCGCGATGGTTGAGCATGGTGGGGGGAAGAGACGAGATGGTCGTCACCTGGTCGATCGACTCCTCAACACGGGCGCAGGAATCAACGGGGAGCGTTACGGAACCGGCGACCGTGGTCGTCGCGCATCCGATACACTCCAACGTGCGCCTGGAGTGTGCCGGGTACCGGATCATCGATGGACCCGACTGCTTTACATTGAATTCTGTCAATTACAGTGAGGCGGGAAACTGGGTGCTCCACACCCGATGTGCTTTGTATAGAAGTAGCAGTGGGAAACTCAGTGGTAGGACGAGCAGCTCGCAACCGAAAGGCTGCGAGTTAAAATCCTAATAGGGGGGTTGACTCATTCCATCATCCCTGTGGGGTCAATAAAATGCATACATAGCAGGCGTGACCAAAAAGATCTCCAAAATTCTAAACAAACATAAGACCCAGGTCCAATTCAGTACAGTACATAAAATCCGTGATCTAATCCCATCTGTGAAAGATGTCATTCCTGACTTGCAATACCCTGGAGTCTATAAACTGAGTTGCATCTGTGGTGATTGTTACATTGGGGAAACGAAAGGTCATGTCTCTAATCGGGTCCGCGAGCACAAGTCAGATCTGAAACACGGCAAAACTGATTCTTCCGCCGTTGCTGATCATTGTTACAACGCTGTGGGCTCTCATGATATTGTCTTTTCCGAGACCAAGGTGCCCTGCAAACCTTATGGCTACCATCAAAGGTTTGTGCATGAAGCCATCCAGATATACAAACATAGACGTAACTTCAACCGTGATGATGGGTACAAATTGAGCAATCATTGGAAAGATGTTATTAACCATGTAAAAAAAAGATTTAACTACGCATATTTGTACCATCTTATTTGACAGGTACTAGTCTATTTTACCGAGTTGTTGACATCCACCGCGTTTAACAGTGCTGCTATTGTTTGGTTTTGGAAGCCAACATCGGCAGTAATCCCTGTGGAGGTGCTTCACTTGGACCTCCCCTTCTAGCCCCCCCCCTCACCCTCCCAGTCCTTGACTGCCACAATTAGATAAGCTCCTCCCCCCTCCCCTTAACCAGTATTTAAGATCTTGTCTCTTGGATTTCTCTTCACTTGATACAGTAAATTTAGATGTGACGGTCCCACCTGAAGACGGAGACTTGTGTTGCCTCCGAAACGTCGTGATTTAATTTAGTGAATTTTCATTTATTATTATTATTTTTACCTACGTGACTTTACCGAAAAAACCTCAAGAGAAAAAATACAAAATAGTTTAATAGTTCACACGTATATATACAATGAATGTACAGCGTTGTGGGATGCACTTCGCACGAACGACGCTGCACAAAATGAATAATAATTAATTATTATTAAAATAATACAACCTTTGCAAATGGAAAGTGAGTCGTGTCCTTATCTAAGAAAAAGGGTTGCTTATCCTAGTCGGGGTTGGAACGTTCCGTTCCAGAGCGGCCGTGACGTCACCGGAAGTCTATGATTAACATCACAACAACACTGGGATCACCGTGAACGCTCGCTCACCTTCTGAGCAGGTGGGGCCCGCGTACGGCGGGTGGCAATCGCAGGCAAAGTGCGTCCACAGGTCGCGGCACTCCCCGCGGCCCCCGCACGGGTCCGGCGAGCACTGGCGCGCCTCGGGGCAGTCCTCCGTGGTGGCCACCGCCGAGCCGGCGGGCATCAGGCCGGGCACCAGCCGGCGCGAGTTCAAGTGCACGTCCTGCATGCAGCCGGTGAAGTTGGGCGGCACGCTCCCCGCCGGCGTCGCCTCGCCCCGCGCCAGGCCGCCGATGTGCACGTCGGACAGCAGGCTGGCCGCGTCGGCGGTGCCCGGCTCGATCGGTCGCTGCTGTTCGCATCTCCCCGGGGGGCAACCCTGGCCCACCACGCTCATGGAGAAGTGGTCATCGGCGGACACCGACAGCTGCCACCACGTGCCGTCTGCGACCGCCTCCTCGATGTGGAGCGACGCCGTCACGATGCCCCAGTTGAGCAGGGAGGCGTGCACGGAGCCTCCGCGCAGCTCCACCAGCAGGAGGCTGCCCGAGTTGCCCAGGTGGGCGATCATCATGTCCGGCAGGGTGGTGCGGAAGCGCAGGGACAGGGTGACCGCGACGGCGACGACGCTCGTGAAATTCAGCGCCTCGATGTCGTCTGAATGTTCAAGTGACGACATAGATTTGGACATTTTAGGAGATGCGTAAAATGATTCAAAGCGCCGTAACTGGGATTTCATCTAGAGTATTCTATTCCAACGGATCTGCTGCAGGCTAGGTAAAGGGACCACCTCAGAATTGCAATGTTTATTCATCCAGCGAAAGTCAGTGGCGAGAACCGGTCCTGTGCACCCCCTCCACAAACCACACGGCAGTAGGGAGGCCCTCATCTAGCAGTGGATTGACAACAGGGCCACAACACCCTTTGTATGTATGTTGAACTTCTTTCGCACCGTACATCGCCAACCGCGCTAATTTGGAGGTGCAGGTTTGTGATGTGGAAGGACAACAAACTAAACACAAAAAGCGGTTCTAAAAAAATGAGTTTTCAATTTAGATATAAAAGCTCCAATGGCTTCCTATTATTGGAAGAGCCTTCCAGACGGCCGCAGAAGCACATCTGAAAACGCGGCGCGATGTGGTGACCGTTTTTGTTTGACGGCTAGCCAGGATAACCGGAGTTCGCGTGACATTAGTGAGAGACACTTTGTGTGCGTAATGACCGCGAACTCACCACCTATTCGTTCGGTAACCTGGAAAGCAAACGCAGCCCCCCGGCCATCTCACCTGCCGGCTGGATGGAGAGCGTGACGAAGCCGCTGCCGTTGAAGCCGATCGTCGTGGAGATGGCGCAGTCGTCGCCCGTGAAACCTTGCCCGCAGAGGCACAGGTGGCCGTGCGCGCCTCCGTTAAGCGTCGGCACGCACGTCGCCCCGTTCCGGCACGCCTGCCCGCCACCGCCGCCCAGGCACCCGGTGAGGGGCGTCTCGCAGAGCGTGCCGGCGAACGCGAGGCCCGGAGCCGGCGTGGTCGTCCACCGCCCGGCGTCCGGGTCCGAGCCGGAGTAGGAGTCGAAGTGGTCGGCGTCGGGGCAGAGGCAGCGGAATCCGTTGGTCTGGTCCACGCAGGTCCCGCCGTTGAGGCAGGGGCTCGAGAGGCATTCGTCGACGTCCTCCCGGCAAAGGCTCCCTGGGGGCGATCGTCAACGGTGACGGGACAGCGAGAGCGTTACGCCAACCCCCGCGTGCGTGGGCGACGCAGGCTTCAATTCGAAGGCAAAGGCGCAGTGCCCCTCTCGAGGGCGTTCTGTAATTCACGCTGCTTCAGACATGGGTGTGCCCACACTTTATCCCGCCCGGCACGCGACCTGCCGATAGAATTACACTGTTGGGTGGACAGAGGCGGACGGGCGGGTGGGGATTTAATAAGTTTGACCCATTGTTTCTACTGCCGCCCTGGGAGACCGAAAGTGGCAACCTCGGGATTGCAAGTTCAGTGTGCGAATCTTAGCACAGCAGCAGCATCTCCATTGTGTGTGTGTGTATTCGTGTACCTATACCTCTACCGCAGTGATTCTCAAACTTTGTTCTCCCGCGGACCGCTCAGCCGATGCAAACATTTCCAGCAGACCACTCAGCCCCCACACCCCTGGTAACAAAACGCATTCACCTCTCTCGCTAAATATCACTCCTAATAAATTACTTATATTACTTCAAGATAAAAAAAAAAATTAACATAGCATTACGTTTTTTTTTCAGTAGTTTGTCTAATTTCATTTGTAAATTAAATATAAGTTGAATATTAATTAACGTCCCAAAACAAATGATATAAAGCATCATGATTTCCGGATCAACCTGCGTTTTTCCATCACAGTCACCGCAGACCACCTGGAGGAGCGCCGTGGACTACCTGGTGGTTCCGAGGACCTCTGGTGGTCCCGGGGACCTGGTGGTACCGAGGGCTTCCTGGTGGTGCCATGAACCACCTGGTAATACTGGAGACCACCTGGTAGAACCGGGGACCTCCTGGTGGTATCGGGGACCATGCTCTGACTACCACTGCTCTAGCGCAATCAGCACTGGGTACTCCGGATCTCCACTGATTGTCTTGAGCCAGCAGTGTACAGTCCCAATGATCATAGCAAAAGACCAGTATTTAGATCTTACAATATAAAGTGTTACTTATTTACTTATTCCAGAGGAATGATGGCTTAAGGTATCCAATAAACCAGGAATTTTACTTGCAACCTTCTGATTTTGGGGGTGCCAATTTAACTTTTTTTATTTAGTTTTTTTTCCACCCCAAATGTTATTCCGATTGCGCAATTGACGTAATGTCAGAACTCCCGCAGGAGTGTGTATCACCTAGTGTTAGAAAACGGTCCATGGAAGATTACTTCAGAGAACTACTTCTGAGATCCCTTCAATTAACCTCACTATCCTCATGCTAGGTGGAAGTGCATTTTTAAAATACACTTTTCTCATACAGAGTTGTTAATTGCATGGCAGTGAGAGCAATATTTTTGTTATCGTTGGAGCTATAATTTAGCCAACTCATGTGAAATACATAATTTAGCGTGATTTTTTTAATCTACAATCATTGGAACCTGGAGTGGGCCCATCCAATCGCTCCAATTGGGAACCCAGTTTAATAATGAGAGGCTAAAGAAATTCGATTCAAAGCTGTATGTATGTTGAAGTTCTTTCACACCATGTGAACCTTATGGTGGGACCCTGGGGTCCCATAAGCACCCGGCTCTCGCATAAACATGAAATTATAATATAAACAAGAACTTTGTTCTTTTTTACCAATGGGTTTGAAGGATGGTGGCGCGTGTTGTCTTGTTAAACTATGGCTTTAAAACTGAAAACTACTTACCTGCAGTACCTCTATTTAAATACACTATCGAAACAATAATTTACACCCCTCTGTCAATCATCGTGTTTCTCAGTGTGGATTTGTGAACACACTTTGTAAACAGTACATAAAATAGTACGCGTTTGCAATGCGCTGTTCATATTGTAAGAAGCGCTTATACCAATGTTACTCTACAGAGTAGTGGGTCGCCGCTCCTTTATCCGCATTGATACGAGCAGTATGTGGGGACTGTGGCTTAACCGCAGAAAAAAAACCTATCTGCACAGATGCATACGGACAAGATAAGTATTATCAAACAGGAGGAATTAACGGTGCAACGCATCTAATCTTGATTTGAAGCTTTCGTGACTGCAGGAATCCATACTCTTTGGTTCTTTCGGTAAAGTCACTTAGGTATACAATTTTATAGATCACGACGTTTCGGGCGCAACACAAGCATCCGTCATCAGGTGGGAAAGCATGGTCTGCTGCTGATGCAGACTGTTTTAAAAGGTCTGCATTAGCAGCAGACCATGCTTTCCCACCTGATGACGGACGCTTGTGTTGCGCCCGAAACGTCGTGATCTATTTTATTTTCTACCTACGTGACTTTACCGAAAGAACCAAAGAGTATGCATCTCATCTGTTAACTATCTGCAAGTAATGGGATTGTCATCGATTGATCCTGGCTGCAGACATTGGTAGGTCACACGTAATAATGATGATAAGAGGGCAGTTTCACTGTATTATGCATACCGCTATGACAAATAAAGGACTTAAGTTGTGTACGCAGTTCGAGCAGCTTTGTATAAGACTTATGATCCTGCCCATACCCGAGCATGGAGTGCATTTGCTTGTTCAGCTCTTCTGCGCATTTGTCCTCGCTGCTGCGCTTGGACATAACACGACAACAGAATGATCTGCGCCAGGCGGGTCGCGGCGTTTATGTGCGCAGTGGGACAGAGTCGCCAAAAAATAAATGTATTAATTACGATTTTTACTTCCGTTTATTCGAGAACCCGAGGTCCCGCCATAAGGTTCATATTTTGCAAACCGTGCTAATCGGAGGTGCCAGGCCACCTGGATAATGTGACCTTTGTTTAATTGTTACGGTCTGAGACTGGCTTATCACGAGACTAGTTTGTACAGATGATCACTCGTCCGCCCACGCTGTTGCTGCTGTTCGTTTAAGCTGCTCTGGCTGGGTGTACAGTCTCTCTCTCAAGCTGTAAGCGGGGCCAATCTGCCATTGGCAGGCTCCCTCAAACACTGCCAGTGTTAGCCACCGTGAATAAACTCCCACGCCAGCGTTAAACGCGCTACATCTGTTTCCTTCTGCGAATGGAGTTCCAATTATTTCTCATGCGAGATCCTCAACAGGGCACTTTGGTTTCAAGAAGCACGAGAAGGGGTAGAGCGGTGCGGGTGCCACGGTGGCTAGGAGATGTTAACGACCTCGCCTGGTATACAGGAGGTCGTGGGTTCGATCCCGATCCTGACGCCTGCGTGTTCTCCACGTGGCCGCGTGGATTTCTCTCTGGGTCCTCCAGTTTTTCTCTCCACATTTATAAACACGCGTTTAGCAGTGTTGGCTGCTCTAAATTATCACGTGATAATCCACTCCGTCTCAGGCTATCATTTGGGGCCCAGTCGCTTCTAATAAAAGGCCAATGGGCCTTACCTGATTAAATAAAAAATAATAGTTTAACTTTATTAACTAACCTCGCGACCTGAGTTCGATTCCGGGCTGTGTTGCCAAGCTGAAGTACTGATCAGCACCAGTGTGGTGGGGTATGATCAAACACCTTCCACCCCCGCCACGATTGACAAATGGCTCTAAATCGACGTTAAATCGTGACAATGGTACATTCGTGAATTTAAATAAACATCGCAATACCACCCTAGTCTGTTCTATGAAAACAACTGTTATTATTCTATTTGTTTCACCAACGACGACTTAAGTGAGGTGACGACTGAGGGATGTTCATCTCAGCCAAGGGGGGGGGGGGGGGTCGGCAAGCCAATGCTGCTCTTGAAAGGGCCGCCGCTTAATGAGCGTTCTGCGCGTGCATTGCGGCTCTGGCAACATTGCGTGCGTTTTTTTTTATACCGAATTTGAACAAAGTGGCTCTACTCGTTCTTTGGGTTACCGAACCCACCCCCGAACTAAGAATTTCGAAAACAGTTTACTTAATCGGCGAAAAAACTAGTAACAACGGCACGATGTTATTAGGAATCTGCTGCCCTTTGTGTTTATCCGGGTGTACCGCGTGTTGTTGTGCGCGATGCCCGGCACGTGGAGCGAAACGCCGGACATCGTGCACAAACGACGCGCGGCACGACCCGACAGCGCAAACATCCGCCTGGTGAGCAGAGCTCTCACAAAAACGCGTTCGTTTGTTACCGACGACGAGAGCAGCGAGACGCAAGAGTAGCAACGACGTCTGTCCCGTTAGCGCCATCGCAGCAGTAGCAGCAGCAGTCTCGTCGTAGCAGCAGCAGCGTCCTCGCCGCGTGCGCGCGCAGTTGGATAAAGCGGCGCACGCGTCGCGATCGGCTGCGTGGATATCGGCACCGTTCCTTCATCCGCAACGTTCCTTCATCCGCAACGTTCCTTCATCCCAAACGTTCCTTCATCCGCAACGTTCCTTCATCCGCAACGTTCCTTCATCCGCAACGTTCCTTCATCCGCAACGTTCCTTCATCCGCAACGTTCCTTCATCCGCAACGTTCCTTCATCCGCACCGCGACCGCTTGCGCACGGGTCGAGGGTTCGGTGTCGCAGACGCGCGTCGACGCACCGACAGCGTCCGCGCCGAGGCAGCACGGCCGCGTCTCGGTGGTGGTGACGAACGCGAATGCGCTAATGCGCTTTGCGAAGCTTATTGACGGTTTAAGAAGCTTTTCCCGAGAACGAATAGGTGTCACGGCTTGTGGGCGGCGAACGTCATATCGAAACGAGGACGTATCCTTCCCTCTTATTTATTCGTCGGCAGCATCATCATCCTCTTGGGGTTTTTTTTCCGGTAAAGTCACGTAGGTAAAAATAAAATAAAAAATTACTCAAATAATAGATCTAGCTGTGACGGTCCCACCTGATGACGGAGACTTGTGTTGCCTCCGAAACGTCGTGATTTATTATTTTATTTCTATTATTACTTTTAGTAAATTTTATTTTTTACCTACGTGACTTTACCGAAAACAACCTAAGAGTATGAATCCTTCCAGTCACGAAAGCTTCAAATCTAGAAGCATCATCATCATCAATCTCCGACGATGATGCCGAGTTTATTTTCGTAAATAATTTAGAGACAATTGTTAATCCACTGCTG